CCATGCGAAATTTGAAACTATAACCGAATTTGCAGTATGGAAACACGCACCAGCCTTCTCTGCTGTTCTCCACGCCACCCCTCCTGAAGAGGTTAGCATAGTAGGTAGACAGATATGCCGCTTTGAGCTAGTTGATCCTACCTTGGGCTATTAAATACAACACATGTAGAACTATCTCTTCACCTTCTGTACCTTACGTAGATAACAAACACAGACCATACTTACTCATACTGTACTTTCCCACTCGTTAGACAGGGTTAGATGCCCAGGGCCCTACCCCATGACCACCCTCTCTGTAGAACTGACAGGACCTTCCTAATGTTAATGGCAGTAACCATCCCAGGATAAAACAAGCACACTGCTCTGGTGTGGTTAATTGCGTGGGCTGTTATTACTATATGTATTATTCAGTATCAGTCCTGCTCTCTAAGGAGGTATAACAACAGCCTCTGCACCTACACCCGAAGTATTGAGATATCCTAAAGACATACTTAACATAATATACTATATCACTACTTAATATCTGTATCTTGACATATAAGGTAGCATGCACAAAATCTGATTGTCGCTAAGCTACCTATATTTTGCGCGCAGGAACGGCAAGACTGCAGCCCTTCGGCTTCCGCCAGATGCTCGCCGTCACCAATGTCCCTGTGTTCATACTCCACGTGTTCCAAGAGACTGTCTCGAAAGACGAAAGCGAGACAGATGCTGCACGGCGCAATAGAGGCCGGAACATCTTCGTCTTGGGGCCGGCGCCATGTCGCGGTTTCCTTGGATGGGAAGAAAGTCTGTGGGAACGATTCGAAGTCCTTGAGCGGCCTGGCGCCCTCTGGTGGGCTTGTGACATAGTTATAGGCGTCAATAACATGCCGCGACTGCGGCCAGCGTGCCAGCGGGATCCCGAGACGAGGTCTCTTGTCCGGGTGGCACACAAGTATTGCGGTATTTCGGGCGCCCAGCAGTCGTTTCACTTCATATTCGCCGTATGGGATGCCTAGAGCATCAAAAGGGCTGAACAGCATCGCCCCTACCCGTTTGTTTGTTTGCCTGTTGTACGATAGCCATATTTAATGTTGGACCATACGCTCTAACCTCGCGAAACCTCATATGTCAGAGCTTGCCAGACTTACCGTTACTTTGCTCAAGTACCTTATGTTAGATAAGGTTAAGCCTTACCCCTAAGCACTTCTCTCTCTCCAACCCCCCCCCCCCCTGCCCACCTAGGTGTTTATATGTAGGTAGTAGGTGATTGCAGTAAACACTAACATGGAGCTGACGTGGAGCGGTGTTGCGGTTGGGTGCCCGTGAAACAGGAGCTGCAGTGTTTGTCAAGTGGAGACCTATTCATGAAAACTGGGAATGATAGGTTCTTTAAATAGGTACTTATGGACTGAAGTACTGATGCGCCCTTGAGATTGGGCATGCACGGGCCACAGCAATTCGTGAGGAATACTGTGGCCCGTGCTCTCCCTTTAAAGTGGAGTACACTCTTTCTTACCTACCTTCTAAGTTTTCTTCTCCGCAGTTTGCCGCCTAGAGGCGCACCTTGTTGACTGCCGTCTGACTCTCACGGGGAAATATTCGAGGGCCAGGATGGCCTGGGTCACAGAGAAACCTCTATAGCCACCTATGGGGGTATATGAAGAGAGCGCGAATCGCCAGGGGGCAGGCATCTCCCTCTTCACGCTGCCACAACCTATTACTCCTTCGACATCAAGATGTTATCACCATACTACGTCGACACCATCCATCGCCGCCTCGAAAGTAGCGATAGCCTCCTCACAATCATCCTCCGCCGATATAGCTGTCATGATCCATCATCTCTTCTTAAAATATTCAACAAGTTCGAAGATATCGCCAAAGTATTCGAAGATAACGAGATAACCAACAACTAATATCGCGAAGTAAACCAGTTAAACCATCCAAAGCAAGAGAGCCTGTTCTTCACAAAATAAAAGTGGAGTACATGGGACCTCTACTCACTTCCGTCCCAGGCGTCTGTCCCCATCCCAGGGTTCTGGGAATAACTGCCTAAGCTGATCCCAACCGTAGCTGCCACCTCAACAGAAACGAAAGCATCTGCGCCAGACGTATGTACGTACTATCGTGGCACTCGGCCATCGCTATAATGATGGCTAAATTGCTAACAAGGTTGACGGCCTTGCCTGCGTTACTCGCTTGGAGATGGCTTCATGAGGTCTCCAGCCACGGAAAAGCTTATCCTGGCCCCATACCGAAGGCGCTGCTGGCGCCAAGACTCAATGCTATTCCCCGTCAGGGAAACCGCCCGGGCCAACAGGCACCGTCCCGGCCGATCCGTCGGGCCTCATGCCGCAGGACTTTGCCCGACGCACGCCCCAAGAAGACAGGATCATCAGTGCCTACATCTTAGCTGTTGACATTATCCCCCAAATTTCAAAAGAAACCCTGTACCTCAGTGTTGATGCTAATAGGTATCGACGCTAACTGTTTCGGAATGCTGAAGCGATCTTATGATATAGAATATCAGCTGCCCTAGTCTTATGCCCATATATTCCCACTTCGGATGACGATATTGAATCACTTATAATTTTCCGATCCTCACCTGGGTTGTGTTCCTCAGAGCTACTACAGAGATCCACTTGTCGCCCGCTATGAAACTCGCGGGATTCTCGGGTTTAATTTAGGGGGGGGGAGGGAGGTTAGTAGTATCATGTGCGTATGTTAATCCCTTAATTTATTTTATTCCGACTTACTGAGGGGATTCTATACACCTTTCCTCGGATACCATGGGTATCTTAGCTAATACCCACAGGGTTAACAGCCACACGCAAAAGCCACGGGGTTCCTAAACTACTAATTCTGTCGAATTTCACACTATTCCATTAACTGCTGCCAGTGGACGGACCACCATACGTATACATAGTGCGGGGATCTGGCCAGTCGCATAAGACCATTTCTTTCTAATAGACATGCGTTGGGCCCCATGGACACCCAATAAAGCGGGCGCAGGCAGTAAAGCTGAGCTGTCAGCGGGTTAGGCGATTAGGGTCATGGTTACACTGTTAGGGTTAAAGGATGTGGTCTTTCCCCGATTATCCCGATGGGCTACCAACCGACGCGTGCAAATATAGGAAAGCTGAACCGGCAGCGGGTGAAGCCGGTAGGGTCATACGCAGGCCGTTACAGTCATGTGATCTGATCCTTCCGTCAGCATTCCCGCAGGTGTCTAGCATGGATTATGCTCTGCAACTGTACCGCTCACAACGCAAACATTACAAACGCTACTATATTTACAAGTAACCACTAGTAGTATACACGCTCCAGGTCTTGCGGCTTATGCTTAAAAAGACTACATATTTTATATGTTATAACTAGAGTGCTAGTAATATAAGGTATATTAAGTCAGCTTCACAGCCTGTCCAACCGTAGAGCACGTAGCAGATAAGGTCCTAAGTAGTTATGTAAACTGGCGCACACCTTATAAGGCACTGTTCCAAAACGTTTGTACACCTAGATGTGTTATTGTTATCTACGTTATCCTATTCCTCTTCCCAGACGAGGAATGCGCACTACTGCTCACGCTAGTAACTCCCCGCTACTACGTGAGTTTCAGTAGCTTATAGCACCCTTACCCACACTACCTTAGACACAACAATAGGAAAACGGAAAAAAGAAAAGAAGAAAAAAAACAAAAAAAAAGAAAAAAGGGAAAAAAGAGTAATGATGTGCTAAAGGTAAGAAGGAGCAAAAGAAACTATAAACATCAACGCCTGCTCTGTATTTCTCTTAATTAGATATAAGGGTCATATCAGCCAGCACTCCACCACATCATAAAACCACACAACTCCTGAAATAGCGAATTACGCAATGCGCTAACTCGAAAAGTCGGATAAGACAACGTCTACTATGAACAACTAGCAAACTTGCTGATGCCTGCCGCCCGAACGGTTGAGCGCAGGCATCGCCTACGCCCAGCGGAGTTGAAGATTCGCTAGCGAGAGTGTTGACAAAAATAGAGAGCATAACGGGCGGCAATGGAAGCATCCATATAGAAGGTTCAATAAAGAATGGGTTTGAATTGCCTGTGCAGCTCAAGGTAGTGTACCTAGCTAGGTACACTGTATTCTGCCTAAGGTATGTGGCGCCTGCTGGACTGGGCACTGACTGAGGTGCTTTTACTGCTTTTCCCCCTACTGTGAAAACCCCTACTGGGTGGGCTCGAAACTTCCTCAACATCCGTACTACGCCCAATTTAAAGCCTTCGTCGCGCGTTCGATCAAAGCCTTCGTCGCACGCCTGATTGAAGTGCTGTGTACGCTGTGGTTGAAGTTATCGCTGGGCGGGTAAAGGGTGACCCGGCCACTAGGATCCATGGATGCCTGTGTTCGGTCCCAGGTCAACAGGCCCCACGCAGGCAGAACACCTACCTTATTAACCAGGCTGCCTGCACAGGCAGCTTTAACCTAACCATCAATGAAAAGGCGGGACCCGACGGTCCTAGCGAGGTGCCTACCTCAGTTCAGTATCCAAGGTACTTGCCTGCAAGTATCTGGGCGTACCTTATGTGAGCGAAATAGATCAGACTCCTTAGCAGGCATGCTCCTGCCGTCCCATCTAAGGTGGTGCCTTCCTTCCCAGCATCTCCTCTTATCGCACCCGCCACTCCTTCCCCCTTCACCTACATTCTCACCTTCCACCTTCCCGCCTATGCCTTGCGAACGTCTAGCGCTATCTCAAACCCTTACAATATCTGGGTTATTTAAAGGGTGCTTCTCCCCTCCCAAACGTTCTCTACTACCTCTTCCCCTCCACACCTCACAACGGCGAGCAACCAAGTACCCAACCATCACATCCATACAAACCTATCAATACCATAGCCACCTTGGTAGACAACACCTAACCTTCCCCATCCCATCCTCAGGCAGGTAACCAAAGTAAGTGCAGCAGCCTAAGGTACCCCTAACCCCCAAGCACCTTCTAGCGTACTAACCTTCACACCACAGCCCTCGCGCGCCATGCATCCGGTTTTGCAGGTAGCCGAGACATGGGCCAACGAGTCCAAAAAGCAGGCCAAGGGGCCATACACGCCATGCTTCGCCGCAGTGCCCAAACAGGGTATTATGCACATCTTCCGCGAGACCGGCGGCTTTACCAACGTCCCTGGCGGCGTCATCATCAAGGTCCCCAGTGGTCGGTTCTATAGCGACGGGACGTTCACCATCGACGACAGCCACCTCTTCACGTGCTCTGCCGGCGAGTTCGAGGCCTCGCTTGACGAGAACGACCCTAATGTACGTATGGTAACGCACCCACGCACTCTGCCCCACGCTAATAGAGTCGCAGACCGGTATGATTCTCATCATTCAGGAATCTATGTCTTAAGTCGCCTTAAGCCACACGGAAGGATATCGTCAGAGGGGGGGGCGATCTTTGGAGGTCTATGCCTTTCAGTGATCACCTATGCCGACTTCCGTGTCGTGCCAACAGGCTCTTTTAGACAGCTAGGTGGGACAAGGCGAAGATGCAGGCGGGATGCCGCCTTCTAGGCAGTTAACTAGACAGGATAGGCAGCAGGCGAGCAGAAGCATAGCATGGTTACAGACGCCGATCCTAATGAGAACCAGTCACCAAGCCCTACGTAGACGAGCACTATTTCTTTTGACTTCATTAGTTCTATGCTCATAAGATACTTTCTACGCCATGTCTCAAGCAGACTTACGCAAGGGTCGTCTTACCTGCAAGCATCCACGTCGCAGCCCCCTTCCCTATAGGAAATCTCTGATATCCCCCGCCTCTATAGAGTAATTCACCACTGTAGTTCACTTAGGGGGGGGAGGCCCACCTTTGCCTCCCCGTGGATGAAGACAGCCCCACTCGGCCTTTGCAAGCAATTCATTACGACGTCTCTTATAGGACGGCAGCCTGAGGGCGCCGTCCGTACCTTCGACCGCCGCTGCATTCGTATAGTGATAAATGCCGAGGAAGCCAAGCGCTAGCCAGCATTGCGACGCTGTTCAACAGACCAAGACAAGGCCTAAAGGAAGGACCAGCCTGGGGGAGGCGGGGTGGGCAGTGCCTAGAAGCCGAAAGAATATACGTAGAGTCCCACCTGCTTCCCTTCCCCCTAAAAAAGTCAGAGATATGTTGATCATGGGGGGGATTGTATTGCAGGCCTACTTAGGTAGTACCTTCTTCACACCACTCAATCTAATATTTTCCTCACTATCACATAAGTAAACGCCACCATCCCCTCCTCCGCCTTTCCCTGAGAACCTAGCACGCGCAACCCTCTGCTTCCAACAGTGGAGAACTCCCTACGCCTAACCTCGTCACCTAAATTCATATCTTTCTCTCCATCCCTCCATCTCTCTATCCCTCCATATCTCCCCTCTTCCGTCCCTCTCTCTCTCTCTCCTCTCCAGTAACCTCTTAGGTAACCTCTCCCTACCTATAGGCTTCCCACGTTATAAAAAGGCTCTGCACTCACAGTACGGTCGATCACCCTTTCACATTCCCACCTTCCACTACAGGGTCTTGAAGTCCCACTGACCAACCAATAGATCCTTCCACTGCGCCAGCGTCGACTCCTCACCCCTCACTCTCTTGCTCGCTATCACACGCCCTCCCCTCGCAAGCTCTCCGAGTAGCGCCTTCCTCTTATCATCACATCCCACTTTCACCTTTAGCCGGTTTCGCCACAGAAAGCACGCCTGCCCTCTGCTTACCTCACAGGGAGACCTGCCTCCTAGGTTTCGCTTCAACCCACTATACAACCACTTCTTCTCTAAGGTAAGGTGGACAGCAACCAGCAGCACTTGACCACGTCAATATATCGCTTCTCACCTCTTCGCCGCCTTCACGCCCGCAAAAGCAGTCCAACCACTACAATGCCGTCTGCTATCAGGAACCAAGCCGAAGCTGGCTCCACCCAACAGCATCCCATGCCCCCCGTCCTCGCCATCTCGCTGGACACTATCCGCGCGCCGGGACTGCCGCTGAAGAACCCGTAGGCAAGCGTCAAGCAAAAGCTTGACAGTTCCCGCCTCTTGCGCCTACTCATCCACGCCTGTAAGGCGCCGAGAGCGGACGTCAACCATGCCCTAATCCCCTGTGAGGCCCTAGTACTGGTGGTCTACGAGAAAGAGACCGACCTCGATTCCATCCTTAAGTCTTCCAACTTCCTCGCCGTGTTTGAGACCCACTCCCTCTGCTCATCCCTCTTCGGAGACTGTCGACCATGCATGACACCCACACTGCAGGCTCAAGACAGAAAATACGAAGCATAGCAATAGGGAAGCTATGCTTGGAATGGGAGAGCCGCCCCGCGTATGTCAAATCTCCCTCCCGTCCTTTTCGCAACATATATGATATATCTAATATACCACTAACGTAATACAGTAATACTTTAGGCTTATCCACGTTCTCAAAGCTCACTACCATGAGTGTCCCCCCCCCCCGACTTCAAGCGAGCGGTCGTGGAGCTTCCGTTACTACAGCTCCCGAAACGCCCGGTTTCAATTTAGCGATGTACCTATGCAGCACGCGAGCTGCGGCCGGCAAGAACGAGCGAACGGCGGCCGGGGATCTAGTAGGAAGGGTACCTAGAGCATCGAGACTTCTCCAGCGGAAGAAGTCGGGGAGACGGCACTGCGCGGATCCGACGACGACGACGACGACGATGAGGGTGGGTGGTCTGATCCGCCTGACAAGGTGCCCGTGGGAAACGCTCTAACCAGGGCCGCCTGTGGCTTAGTAGACAGTGGATGGGTGCACGTGTGACGGAGGCTGTGCTGCTGTGCATACCCTTTTAGGGAAACTTTGGTTCAGTAAGGTAGGCTACATCGTCTACTAACACTGCAGCTTACTACTCTACAACACAGGGGCCCGCCCCTTCCATTCTGCAATTTTCCAGTATTAAACGCGAGCGACTATAAGTACCTGCCCACACGCTTTAGTGAAGGCCCCCAAAAGACTTCAATAATTACTACATAACACGCCGGGGATTATTTCACATCCATCCTTCCCCATTATTAGATATATAGCCCTGGGGACTTAAGTTATACACTCTATTTGCAGCAACTAGCCTGTATTGTTAGATAACTTCTATACCCCTCCTCTCTAATACTACTTAGTGATAGAGCATTAATAATAACCTAAGCTTCACCATGACACTAATCGAAACCATGAAATGGAACATAGTCCTAGAGCAGATGTCTTTCCAAAGCATAAGGAGTAACACAACCCATCTTTCACTCGATATACTCAGCGCACCTGATACGGGACTGCCCATATGAAGCCTACGCGGACTTTAAAGCCTTTTGTTATCAGTCCAGACTCTGAGCGCTTTTCGGGCGTTTAGGCACTACACGTGGCCGTTTTATTTCCTCCCTCGCGTAGACCGACTATATGCCCTCATCGCTAGCCACTACCTGGCCAGAGCGTAGCAGATATGCTTGTCTTATTAGCAATTAGTCTCTGTGGAGGTATGTACTAAGACTTAGGCATGTTAGACCTGACCAGGAAATTGGGCGCCCGGAAAGTCCTAGAGTTACACACGTAGATATCCTATACTCTTTCAACGACCTTCATGACAAGCCCGCTGGATTCACCCACCTCGCCCAACGTATGTAGTTGCTATATCCATGGCAACTAATTGTACGGACTAAAGCCGCAGTCTGTAGACGTATTGAACCCCGCTTCTAAGATCCAGGGCTCATCGATCTCACCTGAGCTCTTGATGCCTCTGAGGCAGTATCTAGGAGGTGGCCGGACCTTCCCCCAGGCCGCCCTGACCGGGGCCGGAGCCGAGGAGCCCCCAGCCAGACCTAGGAGGCGTCTCTCCTTCTGTAAGTATCATTAGCGTAGTAGTCGGCGAAGGGATAGAAGCTGGGCATTAAGAAGCATCGCAACGTCTATATACCTCAGACTGAAGGGGCTATAGGCGATAGGCTAGTGTATCTTTCTTCGGGCGTATATATGTAGATCGACATCTTCTCACAGCATAATTGAGGACGCCATTAGAAGAAAGAAGCGCAAGGAATTAGCAACTTATAAGCCCCCCATCATGCCTGCTTTGCGGCTACATAAATCAACGATAACCGCAACTGCCTTTGCTCGGATGTGGTCTGTCGTCCCCGCAGATATCCACTGAAGAAGCAATAAAGCTATGCTAGCAGCGGGTTAGCATGTTAGGGTCATGGTTAGGCCGTTAGGGTTATGGTTAGGCCGTTCGGGTTATGTGGTATGATCTTCTTGTTTTCCCTCCTAGCAGGCCTCTAATGATTTGCGCACAGTCCTCCAGCGTCCCAAACGCCACACGAGCAGCTCCAACCCGATATTGCGTATTTTTGATGCTGACTTATGTCTTTTGTTTCGTATTGCGCGGTTCGTCCTCAGCAGGCAAGGCTCCCTCCCTATCGATGGGGTTGGTCTTCTTTAACCCAGCCATACGCCGAGGCATAGGCCACAGTTCTTGCTTTCTTGCTTACATAGAATATATAGATACGTTAGCACGTGGGAGGTCTTTTATAACTCTTAGCTGTCATTCCTGAAGAAGCGTCGCCTCAAGATATTCTCTCCTAGGGTTACCCTCCCAATTATAGCGTTAACAGTGGGCTACGATTATTATATATTACCTCCTTACCTGTTCTTTCCTCTAACCAGCCTGCTTCTGCGCAACCATCCTCACATATTCATATACGCTCGACAAATCGTACTGCCAACTACGTTTAATCGATTAGTATTCGGTCGTAGAATGGCGTAGGGCTATACCTTCCACAGCAGGTACTACGGCGAAGTAATATGTTAACCAAACGTCCGTTTTCAGCAGCTCGCCCATTCCTTTTCATCTTAGAGAACCACACATAACATGCCATATATATTCAGTCTTGAAGTCTAGGATAAGATAAACTGTAACGCCTCTCGCCCTGCTATATAGATAAGCCTCCCCTATAATTAGCCGTTCGTTTATCAACCATCACCTTAAGTCTACACGACAACCTGATTGATGTTACTTAGGTGGTCTCCCTAACACATGGATATTCCGAATTCGCCCCTCGATCTTATAGCTATAACCGATACCGGTCCCTAACCTCACCTTCGGCAACACAGATACCGCTCAGCTTGAAAATGTACCTCCTTCCTAGACTAGCCCCATTGTTCTTCCCGTACCAACTCATATTGATCCCTGAGCTAATTTTTCGGGTATCAAGTAATAGCACCTACACATCTCAGGCCCTTGAATCTACTACTATATTCTAGTAAGCGTTATTAGGCATGTTTCAATATGTGGTAAAGCCACGTCACTGCGGAACGCGAGAAGACCCCGCCGCTGACGCAACAAGGATACCAACCTAAGGCACTACTAAGGCGCCTATAAGACTCTGCAGGCCGCAATATATAACTGTAATGCCACCTACCAAACCAGCCGCATCCACGCACGCACATCTGTCACTCCTCCGCTTCAATATCAGCTACCACTCCCACTCGGTACCTACAATATACTCATGGACGCTTCAGTATCACACCTGAAAGTCCCGCTCGCCAT